GGGGGGGCATTTCTTCGTTCTAATGCACAGTAGAATTGTAAATGGGCTGATCCAACAATGCCATGCTCATAACTGTGCCTGAACTACAACAGGGACCTGCTGCTTTTTCTTTCCTAATCATTACAAGCGTCATTTTTTCCTCGACTTCTTTTGTATGTTTGTCACTCTCTTGTGACCCGGTTGCCTTGATAGTCGAAGCAGACTTTGAGCTGTTGAAACTCGAGAGGTGAGCAGAGTAAGTCTGATTCCCTGTAAGGACTTCTTTGTTGACATCCACCCCCTGGCGCTCATATAACCTTATGCAGTTGTGAGCACCGTAAAACCTCTACTAAAACAAACAAACAAACATTTTTCGTCGCCGTTACTTCCACTTTTTACTTCCAGGTATGTAGACATCCTCCCTCCGAACGAGCAGATCTTGTTTCAGCCGTACGAGGAGATAGACCACAGAGAGGAAGGTATCTGTCTGCCTGTCTGTTTGTCTGTTTGTTTGTTCCTTTGTCTGTCTGTTTATTTGTTTCTTTGTCTGTCTGTTTGTTTGTTCCTTTGTCTGTCTATCTGTGTATCTGTCTGTGTGTCTGTCTGTGTTTCAGCCGTACGAGGAGATAGACCAGAGGGAGGAAGGTATCTGTCTGTCTGTTTGTCTGTTTGTTTGTTCCTTTGTCTGTCTGTCTGTGTATCTGTCTGTCTGTCTGTCTGTCTGTCTGTCTGTCTGTCTGTCTGTCTGTCTGTGTTTCAGCCGTACAAGGAGATAGACCAGAGGGAGGAAGGTATCTGTCTGTCTGTCTGTCTGTTTGTGTGTCTAGCTGTCTGTTTGTGTGCCTGTCTGTCTGTCTGTTCCCTTGTCTGTATGTCAATGTGTCTGTGTGTCTGTGTGTCTGTGTTTCAGCCGTACGAGGAGATAGACGAGAGAGAAGAAGGCATCTGTCTGTCTGTTTGTGTGCCTGTATGTGTGTCTGTCTGTCTGCCTGTCTGTTCCCTGGTCTGTGGGTCAGTGTGTCTGTGTGTCTGTGTTTCAGCCGTACGAGGAGATAGACCAGAGGGAGGAGGGTGTCTGTCTGTCTGTCTGTCTGTCTGTCTGTCTGTCTGTCTGTCTGTCTGTCTGTCTTATATCCCTTGCGATAAATAAAGACAGAAAGACAAATAGACAGATAGACAGACAAAAGAATACCACACCTACATATCACATATTATACAGAGGCCTGCAGACAGCCATAATGTGCTCACACGCCGCAACCTCTTTGATATGTGAAGCTTGCTGACAAAATGAGTTACTTCTCGCAATCCACAAAATGGAGATATTGGCCAAAAATCGATACAAGGGTCAAATTTGTAGAGTTAAAAAAAAATTAATGCCATATTCTTTAACTATAACATGTCTGTTATTATTCCATATCGGCCCTACTAATAAATTAGTTTAAAAACTTCATCTATAAGCGTGATAGGTCTATATCTTTTTCCATATACGTTTTGAATCTGGGAAGTAACTCATTTCGTCAGCACGCTTCACATATATTATATACACCCTCAGTCTTACAGCCAATCTATTAGAGGGACCTGGCCGTACGCTAAGCTTTGCAGATGATGTATTGGTATATAGGCAGGGGAGAGATAGGTATATAGGCAGGGGAGAGATCGGTATATAGACAGGGGAGAGATCGGTATATAGGCAGGGGAGAGATAGGTATATAGGCATGGGAAAGATCGGTATATAGGCAGGGGAGAGAGCTGATTGCAAGGAGCACGAAGGAGGAATTGGATCGAATTGGTGAATGGTGCGAACAGAACAATGGAAAACTTAATCCAGCGAAGGCAGGGTACTGTGGACAACAACAGGGCAGTCAAGGCTATCATGCCTACTGTTAATATACAAGGTACGCAGTTGGAAAGGCAAGAG